TCAAGTAGGAAAACAAAAATTAGTTTCACCTGACTATGCCACATATTCAGAAATAAAGAACTAACCACTGGATACGAAAGCATTTAGAACATGTGCTCATCTGCAAGGCACCCAGCATTTACCAAGAGAGTGTTATAAAACAGCAGTTCTGAAAGATGTGACTAGGTGTTTCTAAGCCAGGTCACTTTGAAAGCATGGTATGCTAGAATCTTCTTGGAGATTCCCAGCACATACACATATTAGCCTGTTAAAGATTTTGAGATGCCCTAAGGGATAGGAACATGTTTAATCTGTTTAGCTCAGCATTTTCCAAACTTCAAACAGAGAACATTAGCTGGCAGTGTACTTGTTAACAGGAAGACACTGGTTTAGATCACTGTTTTTGCTCAATGACAATGAGTTTTTGCTCAGTGACAGAGTTTTTGCTCGCCGAAAGCAATATAGAGGTGAAAAGCTTAACTAATGCTTTAAGAGCTTAGGGAAATAGACTAGAGTTATGAGAGTCATGGGATTCAGGTAGGATTAGAGTATTGTGGGAGCCCAGAGAGGACATCTATTCTTACAGACCCTAGTCTGCATCCTGAAGGGTCAGTTTTAAATTAACTGGGTGATGACTAAGTCAGTGCATTTTTATTCATATATTCCAAAATATTTTCTGAAAACCTATAATCAAGGTGTGCTGAAGCCACAGGGGATTGATAGAGCAGTGCACAAAACTGAGGAGAATTCTTGTCTTCGTGGATCATATGTTTTAATGGGGAAGACAGATGATAAATTGTGAGAACACATAAAAGTACCATACTTGATTGCATGGTAATAAGCACTAAAGAGAAAACTCCAGCAGTGAGGAGATGAGGGAGGGTGTGTGATGATGTATGTGATGAGGTGATACAGTTAGCTAGGGTTGCTAAAAAGTCTCACTTAGAAGGTGACATTTGAGCATACAGCTGGATGAAGTGAGAGAGCTAAACAGAAATGACCTGGGCAGAAGGAATAGGAAATGCAAAAGAGTGGGGAGAAGGAGTACACTGCCATGTCTGAGAAGAAGTGAGGAAGCCAGTGTATGGGCATGGAATGTGTGCGCAAAGGGGTATGGGAGATGAGGCCAGGAGAGTAAGTAGAGCCAGATCATGGAGAACTGTATGTCATTTCCTGGTCTTTGGCTTCTAGTCTAAGTGAGATGGCAAGGAACATAAGGGACTTAAGAATGCAGAAAAGAACCAGGATCTAACTTAAGGTTGATATGATGACTCTGCTGCTCTATAGGAAGTGATCTGAAGGGGGCATGTGTCTGGGTGAATAATGGGAAGTGAATTCCTTGGCAGTAAGTGATATCCAGGGGAAAGGTGAGTGTGACTTGGATCAGGGCGGGATTCAGCGAGGTGGTGCAGGATGTTCAGGTTCTGGGTCTATTCTGCAAAAGTATGCTTGGGGAGGGTTTGCTGGAGAGTCAACAGATGGGAGAGAACAAGATGAGTCAAGGATGACCCCTAAGGCTGTGGCATGAGTAACAAGAAGGATGCACTTGTCACTTTTCAAGCATAGAAGATGATGAAAGGAGCAGGCTTGGGAAGGAAAATGAGGAATTCTGTTCTGGAACATGAGTTTGGATTGTTCATTAGACACCCAGATGATGTTGTTCAATAGAAGTGTAATATATGAGTGGGCCTTTCAGGCGGAGGGTACCCTGAAATAAAAGTGAGGAGTTATAAGCACTGAGAGAGTATTTGAAGCCATTAGACTGGATTAGATGCCCAAGAGAATATTGACAGGAAAGGGAGGAGATTGAAATATTTGACATGAAGATCTATTTTTGTCAGTAGTTTTTTTCCATATTTTTTGGTAGTTGTAGATGGACATAATGCCTTTATTTTATTTGTTTATTTTTATGTGGTGCTGAGGATCGAACCTAGTGCCTCATGCATGCTAGTCAAGTGCTCTGCCACTGAGCTATAGCCCCAGCCCCTGTCAGTAGTTTTTAAGAGCAAAGTTCTTGGAAATATTGAAACACTAGCTTTAAGCACAAATAACTTTTTTTTTATTTTGCCAAATAGCAAAAAAAATAAATAAACTTCTATTAAATAAAAGTAAACCCCCAAGACCCTGAGCCATTGGTTTATATGAAGAAGTTTCTAGTCTGGGCAGGGGAGGAAGCTGAGGAGGAGCCAACAGATAGGATTTAGATGTGAGGCAGGCAAGTGAGCAGACTTGGCAAAGGGGGACATGGCAACCATGGACCAGATAAGGCCCAGAGTTGGCCCTTGACTCAAAAAGGAAGTGGTCTTCTGAGGCAGGAGAACTGTTTCATAGAGTGGTAGGGCAAAAATGCCAGGAAGAATGGGGAAAGGGACTTGGATAGAATATAAGCCACTCAGTATCATCTGGTAAGTCCTATGATAAAATTTCTGCTTGATATTTGTTTTATCAATACAACATTGTTCTTGCAGTCCCTAAACCCATTTGCTTCCTCCCACCATATCTGTGCCTTTTGTGCAAGCCCCCTTGTCAACTACCTTCACTCTCTTTCTTAAACTAATCACTAGCATTACAATGCATACAGTGGCAGCCCAAAATCTAAGCACTTTACCTGCTTTTTCTTTTCTTACAAATCTGCTGTGATTTTAGTCATCTTAAAAATAACTGGAATCTCTCTCACCACCTTATACCCTACTATCAAACGAAATAAACAAGAGCTCATTGGTGAAGTGCTTGCCTAGCACGTGAGAGGCATTGTCTTTGATCCTCAGTACCACATTAAAAAAAAAAGAAATAAAAAACATAATGTTTGGGTTGTTATTTGGAATCTTTACTGCAGAAGAAATAGAGAAAGAGGCTGTTAACAGTTCAGAGTAAAGAGGGGAAGAGAGGTTTGTTTCAGTGTAGAATCCTTAATTTTTATGATTTTCTTCTGAAACTTTTAAATTTTTCATCTAAAAAATTTATTTAGTTGTCAGTGGACCTTTATTTTATTTATTTATATGCGGTGCTGAGAATTCAAACCCAGGGCCTCACACATGCTAGGCAAGTGCTGTAACACTGAGCCACAACCCCAGCCCAAATTTTCATTTTTAATAGTGATAAAATATACATAACTCAAAATTTACCATCTTAATCATTTTTAGGTGTACACTTCAATACTGTGGGAATGTTCAAATTGTGCAGTAGATCTTGAGAATTTTTTTATCTTGTGGAAGAACTGAATTCTGTTCCCATTAAACAACTCTCATTCCCTTCTTTCCCCAACCCCTAGCAAGTACCATTCTACTTTCTGTTTGTAAGAATTTAACTTCTCTAAGTAATTCATCTCAGTAAAATCACAGTATTTATCTTTTTGTGACCATTTACCTTGTTATCAACGCTCATCCATGTTGTATCATGTGTCAGAATTTCTACCTTTTGAATGCTGAATATTTCATTTGTTTATACTTTCACCTGTTGATGGTCATATGGGTTGCTTCCACCTCTTGGTTGTTGTGACTAACACTTCAATGAACCTAAGTGTACAAGTATTTCTCAAGTCCCTGTTTTCACTTGTTTTGGACATGTACCCAGAACTGAAATTGCTGGATCATACTGATATTCTATGTTTAATGTTTTGAGGATCTGCCATATTCTTTTGTATTTTATGGCCAAGTAGATTCAGTGAAGTAAATGATAAAAGCATAGATCTAAAAGTTAGTAGACCATGATTTTGTTTCATCTGCTTTTGCCACTTGCTAGTCAGGAGATTTAGGAAGATTACTTTTCTGATCCTCAGTTTGATTACCTGGAAAATGAAAAACAGTAATTCCCTGATAGCCTCTGGGCCTCACTCATTTACTTGTTGAAGGGGTATGTGTGTCGGAAGCCTTGCTCTAGGACTGGGCCTGCAACAATGAGCAGACAGACAAGGTTCTTGCTCTTTGGAAGTTTACAGTCTGATGGATTTTAGCAATGAGAACAGAAACTGGCTATGAGAGTGCTCAGTAAACTGTAAATCACCAAGAAAATATTAGTGTTATGCTTGCTCCATTGAAGTTTTCTTCTGGAATGTTTGGGTTGTTATTTCAGCAATAAATTGATGGAAAAAGAAAATAAAAAGAAATAATAGGTATCTCTGTCATAGAAATTAAGTCCTTACATGAAATAGGCAGATATTAAACATTTGTTGAATGTGTAAAGGAAGGTATTGGGATTTGGAAATTCAGTGTAAGTAGATCTAAGTTTTATATCTCTTTGTTAAATCTTTGGAAATATTAAATCCATTTTAAGAAAAGTTGGGAGTTATATCTAGCACTCAAAGGAACATAGAGTTGACCATACAGAAAAAAATTAACTCAAAATTCAAAATACTGATTTTTAGAGAGTGTAAAATCACACATCACTGTCTCTAGATTTCCAAATATAAATTAGAAGAACTTAATGCCATTGTAAAGAGCCAACCAGGGCTGGGGTTATAGCTTAGTAGTGCAACACTGCCTAGCATGTGAGAGGCACTGAGTTTGGTCCCAGCAAGCACCACATAAAAAATAAAATAAAGGCATTGTGTCCATCTAAAACTAAAAATATTTTTTTAAAAAAACAACAGGACCAAATATCTAATGTTTCTCATTGTGAATGAGGTAAATTTAAGGTCAAATATGATTTATTGAATTATTTTGAGGGGTAAAAGGGAAGTTCAGTTTCTGAAATTGTATTTATACTTAAAACATACAAAATGAGAATTTTTTTCTTCCTTAAAGAAGTCACATTTAGCAGGACACAACTTGAGTGATCACTCAGGCAGTGATGAAGATTCTGTATTATCTATTTTAGAATTCTGCCACTTTTCATCAACTTTTCAATTATATAAATATCTAATAAATTCCAAAAGTTCTAAGGCCGTGGACTGTGATACTTCATTTTTACACTCATTTGCACAGGACCCTGGGTGTTGACACTAATTAGCACTGATGTGGCTGTGCGGGGGCAGCTCAACAGCTCCTTAACAGATGGCTTTCTCCATTTCTTCTCCTCTACAGGCAAACATGCTGAAGACATATTTGGTGAGTTGTTTAATGAGGCTAACAACTTCTACATCAGAGCAAATTCTCTTCAAGACAGAATTGATCGCCTTGCTGTCAAAGTTACCCAGCTGGATTCCACAGTCGAAGAGGGTAGGTAATTGCATGAAAGCAGTGAGCTAGAAGTGATGTTGACAAGATGGTAGTAATTAATTGCAGTGTAATTACTGCTTTTTCCTTGAGGTAATATGTTGACATTTCATCTTATCGTTTCCTAGAAGAATAATGAGGAAAACCCTACAACATTGGGTTAATTAGTGATGAAAAGATTCATATCTTGTTTATCTCATACACCATGCATTTGCTAATATATATATGAATACTACAATTATATATAAACATAGTATTTGTTCTAAAGGCTTCTTCAAATATATTCAGTAGTAGAAGTTCTAATATAGGTTAATGGTAGTTATTTTGAAAATACATTCTTGCCTAAAACAGAATCATCCAAAGAGATAGTCCAACCAAGAGGGAGGGTCATAGGTGTATCATGCCAAAGAGCAAAACCTTTAGCCTAATTGTTATGGTTGATGCTTATGAATAATCTTGGTGATTCTGCCAATTTAAAAAATGTTATTAATCTCAGAAATAGCAGTTACCAAAGGCCTTTAAGCTCAGGTTTTAAAATAACATTAACCAAACACTATGTAAGTTAACTGAAAATCATTTTGATTATATTTTATTTTGATTATATTTCCTAAAATTGTGGCAGTTGCAATAAAATTTAGACCATCAGTAATTCCATTTTAAAAATTTCATTTTCAGTATTTTTTGAATGAAAGACTGAGATTAGACTGGAATAAAATTGCTAAAAAATTGCAAGATACACCATTCATATTTGCTTTGAGAAAAACATTCAAGTTATGAATTAATTTTAGAATTTCTAAATTATTTTAGAATTTCTCTCATTGTTTTAAAATGATCCCAGCATTTGATTTTTGTATTATACCTATTTATAGTAGTATCAATAAAAATAAGCTGTAAATTAAAAAAACATAGTTTATTTGTGAAATTTATCCCTCATTATTTTAAAAAGTATATTTGTTCGTGCTCAAAGGTAAAATTAAATTAGTATCAATATTAATTATGAATGTTCTGACTTTTCCAACAATAGGAAGCTAAAAACATGCTCTTTTAAATCAGATTTTTTAATTTTATTTTCTAGTTAAAAATAAAAATTTAGGGCTGGGGTTATGGCTCAGTGGTGAGTGCTTACCTAGAATGTGTGAGGCACTGGATTTGATTCTCAGCACCTCATATAAATAAGTAAATAAAATAAAGGTCTATCAACAACTAAAAAAAATATTTATAAAAATAAAAATTTAAATGGCAAGTTTGTCAGTTGAAATAAGGAATTCATAACATCTTAAATCTATTATTCAGTTTTAAAATTGATAGCACAGGTGATTGTTGTTTTTTTTTTAATTTAGCTTTAGACGGACACAATACCTTTATTTCATTTATTAATCTTTATGTGGTGCTGAGGATTGAACCCAGTGCCTAACACATGCCAGGCAGTATTCTACCACTGAGCTCCAGCCCAGCACAAGTGATTTTTAATATTCAACTTTATTAGGTTTTTATGTTGGCTTTTTGAATTGAAATGATTATGATAAACTTTATGCTGGAAAAAGTTAATCTCTAGATGAAATTTTATGACATTTTATAGTATGTGTCATGTCTTTACAATCCCTTTTCAATTAGGATTTTACCTTATTATTTTCTTTGATATGGATATGAGAGTGGAAGAGATATTTGACTGAAATATAGGAAATATAGCTCATCTTTTTTTTTTCTCGGGGGGTGAAGGCTGGAAGATGTTGTAAGTGTCACATAACAACCTGAATTAGTTTCAGTGGCCAAGCTGGTGGGTTAATAGGACCAGTGTACTCTCCACAAAAAGTTTATATCAAAGTCAGATGAGTGAACAAATAAAATGTAAATGCTGTACAGACACAAGAAAGAAATATATCTAGCACTGATATTTTGGCTCCTTTGTATAGTTTTGTTTCATAAGTCAAGCTACTCAGTTTCTAGGACTTTATGTTAAGAAACTTTTGTTGTCTTTCCTTAATGTCAGTGTTGTAAAAGCTTAATGTGTTATTTACACTTGTGCGATTTTTGCACAAGTATAAGGTATTATACTTAAATTACTATTAACTGAGGTTTTCCCCTAGGATGCCGAAATCTGTGTATTTACATGACTTTTATACTCATAACTATATTCCCATGTGGTTTCTGAGAAGGACTGTTTAAAGAATCTGAAGCTCTACTACTTAGGTCCAGTGAAAAATTTGATCTCTACAGAGGAAGAAAAGCCATAATTTGACCATATTTTAGAGAAAACTGTTACCTCTAAGCGAGGAGGGACGGTCATTTTCTTTAAGCATGGTTTTAAATGAACAATTTAAAAAACCATCATTTGGTTATTACAGGAGATGTTTACTATAGTGGGTCAATTGATACTTATTCCTAAATGGTTAAAAATTCTATATAATTGTATATATTGTATATATATATCCGTATATAATTTAATTTGAAGGACTTTTCTCTAAACAGTGTCACTACAGGACATCAACATGAAAAAAGCTTTCAAAAGTTCTACAGTTCAAGATCAGCAGGTGGTTTCAAAGAACAGCATTCCTAATCCTGTTGCTGACATTTACAACCAGAGTGATAAACCTCCACCTCTGAACATCCTGACACCTTACAGGTATGGCTTCCCACATCCTCAAAGTGTTTTTAGTCATTGTGGATGGAGAGTTAGACAGTGTTGGAAACACACTATGTACTGGATGTATCCTGGATAGCTCATTTGGGTTAAAAGAATTCTTTCAAACTTTGAAAACAATAATGCTGTTGAAATCAGTCCCTGGCGCTGGATTACTAAAGTTCTGGTGTTTCAGGATACATATCACTTACCAGGAGAAGTTTGAACTCTGATTTTAACTCTTAGACTTGGATCTTTTAAGTGGAAGTGGGCATTTTATATAATGGCTTTATGTGAGATTGTCTTGGGTTTACTTATGTTCAAAGCCAGTTCAAAAGGAACAGCACAGTTTATTTATAATGCAGCAAAATATCTGTCTCAGCACTTTAGCACTGCAGAGATATTTATTATTAATTCAGGAAAAATGTATGCTACAGTGTTAGGGGTTTTTAAAGGTGAAAATAGAGTCACAAAATTAACTTTCTATTATTGTTAGAATGGTAAAATACATTATAAGGACCAAATTTCTAAGAAAAAGGACAGAAAAATTTTAAAGGCTTCTTCCTCTATCCATCTTTGTTCCCTGTGTTAGTCAGCTTTTTGTTGTAGTGACCACAATACTTGATAAGAACAAGTTGGAGGAGAAAAGATTTATTTCAGCTCATGGTTTCAGAGGTTTGAGCCCATGATCAGCCTTCCATTTCGTTGGACCTGAAGTGAGGCAGAGGATTGTGGTGGATGAGCATGGCCGAGGAATGCTGCTCAGTTCATGGATACCAGGAAGCAAAGAGAGAAAGGAAGGGACTGGGGGGAAGATAAAACCTTTTAGGGCACACCCACAATGACCTGCTTCCTCCAACTAGGTACCACCTCCAAAAAGTTCATTTAACCATCAGTGGATTAGTGCACCTATGTGGTCAGACTCCTCATGATCCAGTCACTTCTCAAAAACCCCACCTCTGAATACTGCTATATTGGAAACACAAGACACTGGGGGACATTCTGGGTTCAAACTACAACACTCTCCTCTTTAGAGGCCACTTATTTCACCTCTGCCCAGCACAGATTGTGGAAATCAGTGGCCCTAGAGTCAGTGCTGCCAGCTGATGCTCCCACAAGGGCCTTGGAGAATACTGTGTGTTCTTTGTATGTGTCACTGCCTTGACATTCCTGCCTGCAGGGCCCTCCTCAGGGAGAGCTTAGTTTCCCGAGTTTCATTTTCCATCCTTTCTGGGATCAACAAGGCTTGGAGATACCTTTTATCACAGCTCTATCAGGATAGGGCAGTTGAAACTAAGTCCCTTTTTTCCTGCATGGACAGAAAAGATTCTCTCAAAACAAATGTAAGAGCTCCCTATAAACTGATGGGAGATGAGCAGGATTTCCCCCCTAAGAAGTTTGTATAAAAATGGAACAACTGTGCTTGCTGGAGGTTATAGGGCACAAATTTTAAAAATATATCATATATATGAATAAAAGCATGGTAATCCTGGTGTATTGGTCAACTTTTGCATTCCTGTGACCAAAAGACTGGACAGGAAAAACTTAAGTGGAGGAAACTTTTACTTTGGCTCATGATTTCTGAGGTTTAATCCATGGTCAGCCAACTGCATAGCTCTGGGCCCAAGATGAAGCAGAACATCATGGCATAATGGCATGGTGGAGGGACATGCAAACCAGGAAAGAGAGAGAACTGTACTCACCAAGGACAAAATATAAACCCCAAAGGTACACTCCCAGTGACCTACGTCTTCCAGTCACCTACTTGCCTACAGTTACTGTCTAGTTAATTCATGCCAATGGATTAATCCATGATTAGGTTATGTCTCCCATAACCCTAAACATTCTTGCATTGTTTCACACACGAGCTTTTGGGGGACACCTGATATCTAAACCATCACACCTAGTATTTTTGTCACTACTTTCATTTTTTAAAATTATTTTTTGTAGTTAAGATGGGCAGAATGCCTTTATTTGTTTATTTTTATGTGGTGCTAAGTATCAAACCCAGGCCTCACACATGCTAGGCAAGTCCTCTTCCACTGAACTATAACCCCAGCCCCTTGTGACTGCTTTCATTTGATAAATGTTTTTCCAGGACAATTTCAGTTTTATTTAGCACTGGTAGCCGCACTATAAACACTGTAGTGTGAAGGCTTGCTTATTAGAATTCTCCTACCTGATATTATTAAGGAAGCTCACTAAAAATTCTGTCTTAAAGGAAATAATCCAGAATATCCAGTGAACCACATGTATTTGACTAATCAATATCATGATTAAATATTTGTAGTGATTTAAATTTTAATTGCATAAAATGATTTTATATATGTACATAATATATGTAATGTGTACATATTCAGTCTTTTGGAAAATAAAGCATGTCTTTGGTTTTTTAATAATGTGTTTTAAGATTAGCAGTGGCAGCCCAAATGTACTTTTCATTCATAAAACAATAATTGAGATACATAAAACATAAAATTATGCATTTGAATTAAATGTGTCACTGTGACATGATGAAAAGTGGTTAGATGATGATAAACATTAGACATATCTGCTTTTAGTCTTAAGTCAGGATTGGCATTTGTTTACTTCATTGAGCTTCTATCTTCATTAGAGTATTAACTGCATTTTTAAAAGCAAGAATGTGCATTTTAGACATCTTTAACTTTTCAGCAAGGTCCGTAGTTTTCCTATAATTCTATATTCAAGGCCTTAGTGTCTTAGGGAACCAAATTTGCTTTTTCACAATTATGTTACTAATAAAATTTCTATCATGCAAGCTGCTTACAAATTGGGAAACTAGAAGAAAGGAAGGATGTTAAATAATCCAAGGTTAAAGTATATATAGAAAGAGTTGCACTGGTTTGTTAGTGATCTTCAGACACAGTGACTAGAATAGCCATGGTAGGAATATGGGCCTTAGCATTTTATAGTGAGAAGCCTGCAAGAGATGACGTAGCAGGAACTTTAAGAATAGACCTTTTCCATTTTTTCTTCCTGTGTTAGCTTTCTTTTCTTGGGCATAAGCTCTTTCCTTTCTATACTCATTTAACTGATTTTGCATCTTAGTACCTTAAATGACTTACTGAAATATTAGTATGAAGTATGAATGTATTGCTTCCTCTTGGGAAGCCTACAGGCCACATGCTTTTTAAAAATGTTAGTGTTATAGAGAGTTTACTTTGCATCATGATTTTTTTGAACATTCCTATTGATTTATATTATACTTTGGATTCATATTGGCTACATTGTTCTTGGTTGCATGATAAGTGAGTAATTTTTTATGAGGCCTTTGAAATATTCCTAAGACCACAGTATTTGAAGAAGTACTTGACACTAAAATGACCACGAGTGAATGAACTTGCTTTGAAAATATCTAGTTTATTGCTTTTTTTCCTAGTTACAGTTATATCCCATGAAAATTTTCTTTGCTGATTGAATTTCAGATATTGGGCAACCTGGTTGAGAAGAAGAGACAGCACTTTATAGTTTTTATTCTAATAATATTGAAGCTCAGAGTAGAAATAAATGTATCTGTATAAGAGTCCATTCATCCCTGTGTATACCTCCCTGTTGGAATAAACAAAATATTTCCTGAAATATAAACACTCAGTATTCATGAGCTTCATTGTGATTTTTACAGAGCAATTTTCTATTCTTAATTCTGAGTGTGTAAGAATACTTTTGTTATTCTGTAACAAGTTGCTGTTTGTACATTTTTCCACATTTTTTCAAAAGGAAATTTAGAGAATTAATAAAGTATAGGATAGTTAAGATGTCCTCTGCAAATGTTACAATGCCATGAGTTAAAATTAAATTCACATTAACATGCATATGAAAGTATCTAATATTCTTTTTCCCCTTACTTATAATACATTGATTCATAGAGATGATAAGAAGGATGGGCTGAAGTTCTATACTGATCCTTCCTATTTCTTTGACCTATGGAAAGAAAAAATGCTACAGGATACAGAAGACAAAAGAAAAGAGAAACGGCGTCAAAAGGTAAGTAATCCCACTGTGGGAAAGCTGCATATCACTGTGAATTTGGGATTCTTGTTTAGAAGTAAGTAAATCACTAAGTGCTTTATTTAAATGGTTGAGTTGTTTAATTTAGTACTCAAGGTTTTTATAGGGGGTAAAGAAGATCCTGACAATTCAATTTAACACATTCATACTATTTTTCAATAACTACTGATTTATTCTCCAGCACTGGCTTTGCTTTAATAATAGTAGTGACTAAAATTTCAGTTTTCTTGGTAACCATGTTTTATAGCTTCTCTCCTTCTGATCCCTCAATTTTTCATAAAGCAGTCAGCCTTCCATATCAGATACAAGGATGTACTTCTGTCTATTTAACTTTTTTTTGGTGTCATAAATGTGACACCTTAGTGAAATGTGCATAGTGGACTGGGAAGCATGTGTAATCTGGGTTCAGGGATGGTATTTACTGAAAATGAGCTTCTGTTTGTGGGTAGCAATAGGCAAGAGAATTGCAACTCAGAATATTGAGAAACACCTGCCTTACAGGCAGTCATGCAAGCATAATTCTGCTTGCTCAAGTTAAGGAACTTCTACTTTGAAAATTACCCCTTTGCGGTCCAGAACTCAGACTAATCCACCTAGAAGAATACTTCTTTGAGGACAAGATTTTGCTAATATTTTTATATGTAACCTGTGTTTAAAAGTGATGTATAATAAGAATTGTAAAGCATTTCACTGTCATTTATTTTCTAAAAAAATCAATTAAAAAAAGTGACCACCCAGTTTTGTTGACAAATATTACAGTGCATTATTTAGGAGAAACATTTAGCATTCTATGGATTGGCCTTTAGGTTTTGGCGCATTTAGGTGTATTTGTTCAGTTGGAGAAAGAAGAATTTGAGGTTTTAAAACAGAATTTTAAAAAAGAGAAGATATGGAGCTGAGGATGTAGTTCAGTGGTAGAGTGCTTGCCTAGCATGTGGAGGTCTTGGGTACCAGCCCTAGTACTACAAAAGAACAGAGGGAGAGAGCAGGGGGAAAAGGAGGAAAGGAAAGAAACTGGACTCTGGAAAAAGATTCAAAAGCTGTGAATTATTTGAATACTCAATTACAATAAATTTTGCTCATGGCTTAGAAAGATTTAATTGGGAATTTTGAAAGAACTGCTGAAGTTCTTCAAAGTAGTCAACCAAAGAATAAATGGAAAAGAAACAAGTATGTGTTTATCTCAATTCCTATACTTTTTGATAGTAACTGGGCAAAACCCTAGGACTTTTGAGAGTACCTTCTTTTAAAACTGTCTGTCCTTTTAAAAGGCAGTATACATTCTCAATGATTCTTTGGGGAAGAATATTTAATTTTGTGACCTTTTTATTTTGAAGGGAAAATCATCTTTTATGTATGATTATTGTGTCTTCAAAATCATTTGTCATTTCATTAGTTATTTTTTCTCATTTTATATTCCTCAAAAACATACAATTCTGGTAAAAATTCCTGATTCATTCATTCATGTAATAATTTTTGTTAAATGCTGGGTAAGCAGCGATGGAGAAAACAAGACTGTCACACACCTGGATTACAACACAGTGAGGATCCCTGGCCTTATGCTGTCATGAGCCTGGAGCTCATACAGAGAGAGAAGTTCAACAGTGTCAATTCCAAAGAGCTTCACAGTGGAATAAAAAGAAAATGAAGCATGGTAGCCTTCATTTCCAAGGACTTTAGACACCAAGTCATGTTCCATTTTTTTTTTTTTTTACAAACTTGAGGGAAGAAACTAATTTAGAAAATTTGGGAATAAAACAATCCATTTTTTCTGTATTTCAAGTTTCCTCTATTTTTTGATACTTCTAAATCCTAAAAAATTCTGTAAATAAATATGAAGTGTTTATTTTGTTTTGTTTTGAGGATACCAGGGATTAAACCTAGAGGGGCATTAATACATCACCAGCCCCCCTTTAAAATTTTTTTTTATTTTTTATTTTGAGACAGATTCTTGTTAAATTGTTGAAGCTGTCTTTGAACTTGTGATCCTCCTGTCTCAGTCTCTCAGATTGTTGGGATTACAGGCATACACCACCATTCCTGGCCAACTATGAAGTTGTTTTATTTGTTTGTTTGTTTGTTTATACCAGGAATTGAACCCAGTCATTCTTAACTACCAAGCCACATCCCAGCCCTTTTTATTTTTTGTTTTGAGAGAGGGTCTCACTAAGTTGCTGAGTCTGGCTTTGTATTTTGGATCCTACTGCCTCGGGCTTCAGAGCTACTGGGATTACAAGTATGGACCACCATATCTGTACATAGTTACACTGCTACCAAGTATTATAAAGTACAGAGTTTTGTAGGTGAGATGACAAGTAAGGTGGCAGCATACATGCAGAGAAGTGTCAAGGAAGACCTTTGTAAGGAAGTGTTACTCAAGCTGAGGTCTAAAGGATAGATAGCTTTGCAGAGTAAGGGTATGGGTGAGGCATAGATAGTATGGAGGGGCAGAGGGCAGATGAGGCCAGTGTGTTTTAGAATCAAGGGACCTGCTAGGCAGAAATAAGAGTATCCTGGAGTAGGGCACAGGATTTTATTGTAGGCCAATGTTGTTAATATTTGTGGTTGATTCTTGTGTGTGTGTTTGTGTATGTTTGTATGTGTGCATCTTGCATGCATCTTAGGTAGGAATTTAAGACATTTGAAGAAAGTAACACTTAATTCCTAAATATTTCAGCATACATCTCTTAAAAAATAAGAGTAATAGTTATTAATTATTTTTAACACAGTGGTTTCTCATTGGAATAACATTGAAACCCCCCAACACACATACTTGTTTTTTAATATGTAGACAATATATGCTGGCTATAAAGTGCTCAATTAGCACTGAAGGAAATAAAGGCATGCCCTTCCCTGAGAGGAGCTAACTACTGTTTACAGTTTGGTGTGCATTTTTCAAATCTTGTAAGCACATATAAATACATGCATACACATTTAAAAGTATTCTGTATACATAAAATTGTGCTACATGATTTGTACACACCACTGACATTGTTAAAAATGTACTTTATTCTCAATAGTTGTGTAGTATTCTGAAATATAAATGCTCTATCAGTTATTGACTTATTACTATATTAACAAATATAAAAAGTTTCTAAATTGTTGCTTTAATTTAAAAATACTGCAGTGAGTAATCCAGTATCCATGTGCAGGTATTTCTTTAAATTTGTAGAAGTCAAATTGATGTTAATGAAAAGAATGTTAGTTTTGAGATTTGAAAGATGCTATCATATTGCCCCTGACCCTTAAAAGACAGAAGAACTAGTTTGTACTAACAGGTCCCCAGTCCCAAATACTATTTTATTGAATGAGCACCCATTCCCCATCACCTATAGTATACATCTTTTCATATTCTTATTTGCCATTTCTGTATCTTCTGTGAAATTCACGTGTATATACTATGCCACTATATTGCCAAAATTTTTTGGCCCCCTCATCTCCCTTGCAGGATTTGAACTCAGGGGTGCTCAACCACTGAGCCACACCTCTGGCCCTTTTTACTTTTTGTTTTGAGACAGGATCTCACTAAGTTGCTGAGGCTGGCTTTGAACTTAGGATCCTTGAATAACACTAAAAATAACCCAGTTCTCTAACTTGAGCCACCTGCCATCATCTAACTTCAGCCATCTTAGTAGCTTTCTAACCCATGCTCCTGTATTTCTTTTTAATCTGTTCTTCACAATGTAGAGGTCTTTTCAAATGCCTCCTCAAGTCAGCCCCTGCCTTCTCGTTTTTTGGAGATTTCAGTTTAGCTTCTTTTTTTTTCTCCTAATGCAGTGCTCTTACTCCTCCTCAGTGGCCTCTTTTGCTGTGCAGTGGCCCATGATGTCTGTAGTATTAATGTCTACTCATGCTGCAAATCTGATCCCTAAGTCCCAGCAGGACACCTCCTGTCTTTCAGACTAGAAGGTGTTAGAGATATATGTACATATATTTAAACATATAAATACCTGTATATATCAAAATATAAGTATGTAAATATAAAATATGTATATGTAATATGCATTTTATATAAAATACATTTAAAAAAATATACATACATTTATATTTTATCATATTTTATAATGATACATTTATTTGTGCCATCTTGTAGGCTTTCTTGCTGGACTGCAAGCTCCTTGAGAGCAGAGACCCTTATTGTTCTTTCTTTCTTTGCCATTTGTGTCAGTCGAGCCTGGCACAGTGCCTGGGATGCAGTAAGCTCTAGAAGCTCATTCTTAAAGCATGGATTTGATCATTTAGCCAGTATTTATTGAGTGTGTACTCATATGTTGAGGTCCCTAAGAGGGAAGCATAGGAGGTAAGAGCACATAGTTCTTGTCCTTAAAGATCATATAATCTTATGAGGGAAGCAGCAGGAACTCATAGATATATACATAGAAGTAACTGTCCTCGCCACTTGAAGAAGGACCTGCATAGGACGTAAGTGTTTATTCAGTACTTTTTGCTGTCAGGTAGGGATTGAGCAAGAATGACTGTATGGGCAGGTAAGTTTTTATTTTGTTTTGTGTGAAGCTAGTTTCAGTTTTAAATATTCTATATTAATCTTTTAGGAATTGGGAATAGAAAATTCTGAATTGTTTTCTTTGAAAGATAATTGCATGTTAACAATCTAAGCGAACTTGTTTAGTTGTGGGAAGTGATTTTTCTGAAGGGTATTGCCAGTATTTTATGTGTGTGGTACATTTAAAACAGGCTACCAGCCTAGTGAAGTGCACATTCTTTACCAAAAATCATAGTTAGCAACTCCAGCGGTTGTAGCACAGTAACATTTTTTTTTTTTTAATTCAGATTAAAGAACTAAGTCTCAGTTATTTTCTGTTGAGTCTGTTGGGAACAAGTATGATGCTTTAGAATTTTCTTAACAGTAGGGTAATCAAAATGTGAATGTCTCTTGTGTGTGCGCCAAGCTTGTTTCCTATGCATTGTAACTGCATTTAACCTGCTGTTTTCCTTTCCCTTCTGTCTTGGCATGCTTTCTTTCTTTTCCTGGACGTCAGGAGCAAAAGCGTATAGATGGCACCACCCGTGAGGTGAAAAAGGTTAGAAAAGCCAGAAACAGGCGCCAGGAGTGGAATATGATGGCATATGACAAAGAGCTTAGACCCGACAACAGGTTGTCTCAGAGTGTGCACCACGGAGCATCTTCCGAGGGATCTCTGTCCCCAGACACTAGGTGTGTGTGTGTCACAGCCCCCTACCTCATGCTTGGGGCCACTGTTTGCTACCTGGTTTTGTTACAATTGGAAATATACCAGCAGTTTGGGGTTTATATGACCCACAATATGTTTCAAAACTCTCCTGAAAACTTACTTATGTATATTTTGATTATTATTACCTTAAGGCAGTATTAATTTAAATTGGGTTGCTTTATCTGATTTTTAAAAAAATCTCTTTGATTTAAACTTACTCTTCAGTTAATCTAGAGATAGTTAACATTAATTCAAAATTTGGAGTAACTGCCAGTGACTTCAATTTTACTTTAATAATTACTTAGTCCTTTATTTTTGGCTTTGAGTTTTGAATTTCCTTTGGTAACTTGTTATCCAAAACTGATCAGCAAGTGATAATTACTGTACTCAGGAATACCTTCTTGAGCATTTTGATAATCCTCTGGAAGAGTGATGAAGAAAAAATGATTTCTTACTTTAGATAACTAATTTTATATATTCTAATTTCAGGAGAAAATTTCTGGTGGAGTTTATTTTAAAATTTTAGTGATTAAGAACAAATGTTTCTTTCAGGTGTGAATTAGTAGGTCACATTTGTCACAAAAGGGAGTCATTGGAAGAGAAGATAAAAACTGATTAGCCAATTTTAACCTCTGACTTAATTTCCTCCTTCTGATTTTGTTAAGTTGTAGTTTTCCATTTGCATAGACTCTCAAAGTCATCAACATTTAAAGTTTTGAATAGAAAATTCTTATGTGATTCAGAAATATATCAAAAACAGCAGTAACCTGGATCTTGTGTTTTATCTGTGTCCTTTTTCTTCTTTTTATCTTTGTGGCTTGTCTTAGCAGACTTTAACATGTAGAAGGTGCTAACTGAATATTTGCTGCCGAGAATTATTTGGTAGTTAGAGTGGCGCAAATATTCCTACTGAAGTAGATCTGTGTTTCATTGGTAGAATGTGAGGAAAGATTGAGGTCTCCCCCTTCTCTCCCCCTCCCCCTCCCTCTCCCTCTCTTTCTCTCTCCCCTGTTTTTGGTCCTGGTAATTAAACCCAGTACCAAATCATTTATATGAGCCCTTTTTTATATATTTTATTTTGAGAAATGAAGTTGCTTAAGCCCACATTAAGTTGCTGAATCTGGCTTTGAACTTGAGATCCTCCTGCCTCAGCTTCCTAAGTCTGCGGGGATTATAGGCATGTAGCTTTTACAGCTGACATCTACTAAATATTAGAGAATTGTTGGAGCTTTCACTGACTTCTAGCCCTATGTTTAAATATTTATGTGTTTATTTCTGTCAAAAGTTAAAATGATGCTATAGTTCTGCTTCTAGTTCTTTGGGGTAGGGAAGAATATGTCAATTTAATATCTCCCATTGATGTCAGTTTGCATTTTTCTTTTCCCAAATAATACAGTTGTTATTATTTATTCATGAAGAATTAATACTTTATTTTTTCCCCACATATAATCTTTTTTAACAGATGCAAATAGAAAACTGATGAATTTTTTTAAAATTCTCAGTTGATTGATTAATACTCATTCTAGCATCTGAGATGAGATTATTCCAAAGATTATTATTCTTTGTTGGGCACAAAGCTGATGGTTATTTGAATTATTTAGTATCTGCCTTTGTATTTGTGTTGCTTAGATAAGTCTTCATTTCTCTTATTTTTCAAAAAGCAAATAGAATTGTTCATTTTGTTTCTTCAGAATTTCGTTTTGTCTCATACTATTTCCCATGGCCTCTCACTTTTGTATACATTATTTACTAAGAGATAAAGAAGTTATATAATTCATCATTGAACTTGGAATATATCTCTTAAATTAATTTTAAAAGTTTTATATTTTTATTTTACTGAGTGTTAAACTTTTTCCTTATTATGAAATGAGATACACTAATTATACCTGGAAATTTTGGAAAAGATATTAAAATTATGAATAACCATAATTCCATCAGCCAGAAAAAACACTGTTTCCATTTTGGTGTGTCTCTCCTTAGTCTTCTTTTCTCCTGGTGCATATTTTTTTTCTTTTACAAAATTGGAATCACCATTTTTTAACTTTTAAAAAATGATATTTTATGTCTTAAGTGTTATTTAGAAACATGACTTTTTAATGGTTGTATCCTCATCAATGTAATAAGATATTGAAGAAAAGTTAATATCAAGTTTCATGATGTGTATGGGCCATTAATGTAACTGATATACTTTAGCCTAGTTCACATAAGCTGATCTTAAGTTTTTACCATCTCTCTGAACATTGTCAGACATGTTTTATTTCTAAGTATGAATTTAAGATCTGAGCATTGATGAAATGCTTGCACTCCTGATAACCAGCTTTCTTTCCTTTCTTTCAGTGTACTCAGGAAGCATTACACCTCCATGTGTAACATCCTTGTTTTCTCTCATCATTTCTGGGCCCTGTTATTGGTGCTCTGACCCTGTGTACCTTAAAAACCCTGGAAATTTATTGGATTTTCCCACCATGCTGTACTGACTTCTTCCTGTTTCTTTATTGTCTTCATCCATCTGTTTTCTTTTCTGCAGCAGATGGTTACTGATGATCAGAGAGCTTCAGAACCACTCCACTCACCTCCACATTGACATCATAGCTCCTAGCCGACTTCCACCTTCCCACCTGAGTTAGTCTCCTATTCCTCTAGGCTACTATCATCTCCCTGTTCCCTGATCTTTCACTCTTCAGCTGACCAATCTCTTCTGCTCCTCTCATCCTGTCCTTCACCGAAGTCCTGCCCTGTAGAAATCTTCTGCTCTCATTTCTCCTTCAAACATTTGTTTCTTCTGCTTTTATGTATGTCCATCTGGTTAACCCCCTTTTCTTGGCTTCATTTGGCTCTACATTGCAAAACAACTTTACCAGAATAGCATTTTCAATTATGCCACAACATTTACAATTTCTTGCCATGCATCTCATAAGAAGAACTTACACTCCAT